AGGGTGGGGGGGGTCCTCCTAATATGTACAACAACAATCCCAAAACAAGTGGCCCTCTACACGGGCGCCACACGCAAAGACTCAGCTTTTGATTGAATGAAAAGGCCGGCTTAGAACACCACATAACCCCTTAAAACATGCACAGCCTTGTCCATCAGGCACCCGCTTCATCAAAAACTAACACCCACAGGATGATTCCAGCGCCTTGCGCAGCAGCAGGGCATCGATGGCGGCGCGGAGGCGCTGAATCATCGCTACCACCTCATTGAGTTCTTTATGGGTTCAATTAGTACCCCCCTCTATACTACCCACCCCCGAGGTTCCCCCCTTAATTAAGGTTATTCAGGGATAATGAGGCTGAATTAAGGTTAATTAAGGGGGAACCTAGCAAGGGGGGGGTAGTAAAAAGGGGGGTACTAATTGAACCCATGAGTTCTAGGATTTTGCCACTTGATGCAGGGCTCAAGTTTGAAGATCTGAAGTCTAGAACTCAGGTTGCAGACTTGAAGAATTGAGGTCGAGAATTTGGCGCTCGGGTTTGAAGATTGATCGAAGTGCCCCATTGATGGTTAGGGGCTGAGAGGTTCAGAAATTGAGGGTTGAAGCCTTAACGTATGAAGTGAAGGCCTTGGGACATCATGCCTGTCAGCTCAATGTGCGTCCAGGTCTGTGGCGTCATACGAGTCAGTGAGACTAAATGGCATGTTCATACATGGGAGCATAGAAACAAGACACCTCAGACAGTGTCCAGGGGAGGGGTCAATTCTAGACCCAAACAATCCATATAAGTGCCGAATATGAGAGCAATATCTCTTAAGATGGTCCGAGGCTTGCGGCATATGCCTGAGTCTAGATCGGGAAGGGGGAAGCAAGCACCTGGTCGGCTCTCTAAACCTGATTCCATTTTGGGTGTCCTCACAAAAAGAATCATAGGATATTGGGGTCTACATTGGGGCCGCCCTAGTTGTGAGACCTCTCATACAAGCGCCTTGAAATCTGAACTGTTTGCGGTGCGTGTAAACCTGACACTTGCTACATGAGAGGTCACTTCTTGAGAGGTAAGAAGGGAAAAGCACATGGATAATGAAATGGAAGCTGGCGAGTTGTGGTGACTTTACGGGGATTTATAGGGTTGGGGATTGGGGCTCAGGGAGTCAGATAGCTTGATGGGGGCTGTGCCAAAAGCCTGTTTAGGTGTATCATGGAACTGAGAGCTTCAGGAAGCTGTGCCTCCTGGAAAATGTACGTACATGTTCCGGCACCACACGCGACCCATGCACCTAATCTAAATCCAGCGATTGTGACACCAAATGATCCTCGCAAATGGGGCACACTCCTGGGTAACTTCCATAGGACCTTGCAGAAAGGCTCTTTAAAAAGCTCCCAAGAGCTTTTGCTTCCATACCTGAAAGTATGTAAGAATCTTATGGCATCCGAATACAGAGATTCCCAATATTTCGGGGCACACATGTCCACCCTGAAGCTGACCGAGCAGCTGATCTTCAAAAGCCAAGCCCGACACGTTTCGATGTGAGCTACGGGCTAAATTTAGGTTGGGGGACCTGTGAGGGACTATAGGGGGTTTTGGGGGGGACCTATTAAGGGATATACTACAAATTTAGTCCAGGGCTCATGTAAAGGGTTACGATAGCCAACCCCCCAAAAGTGCCAATGGAGTCAAAGTTGACAAAGACCTGCAGCCGCAGCGGCTGTGGTGCTTCCACCAGCGAAGTCGGCCCATCCGTCTACCTTCACCTCCGCCTTCCACCATAAGGCGTCAACGTATGCACAGCTTTGGGGATGGGTTCCTCACACTGCCCGTGTCTCAACATGGCCGTTCGTTGCGACTGAAGCAAAAAAATCCCGATGGCTTGGATGGCACAAGAAAGACCGAATGGCAAGACACCCCCCGAATAGGATGGACGGAATGTCAGGGCTTCTTGAATTATCCTTCACCTCGACCTGACTAAGCAAATTAGCTGCTGCACAAAGCTCGAACTAAGTGAGCATATCGAGAACGAACACCCGCTGTGTTCGCAGGTCCACCTCCTTGTGGTCGACCATGAGATCGCCACCAAAGAGAAGCAGTGCATACACCTGCAGCTTCTGGAGGCTCTGCAAGCTTCGCTGCACCGTTTGGAAAGCCAAGTTTAGTCACACGCCACTCTTTCACAAAGTGGTAGCTTAGACTCCCGTGCGAGCAGGGAATTTGCAAGCTCCCCTTACATATCTACAAAAACGTATGTAGAGGTGCAATATGAATCAACCCAACCGGAACTCTGATTGCCCCCGGGTAAGTGGCCTTTCCTGACCTACAAACCCCGCGGCCCATATACTATAGTAGTTTCCATTATCTTTTCCATTATCCCAATATATCCCAATATATCCCCTATATAACCCATTGTAGTAGTTTCCATTTTCTTTTCCATTACCCCAATGTTACCCCAATATATTATAGTAGTTTCCCTCAAGGTATCTGTGCCAGCAGAGGCTCAGAAGCTTCAGAGCATCCTGTGAGCACCAGCTTCGTCGGATACCTCGGGTTGCCTGAAGTAGCCCATGTGAGCTGTAGTCTAAACTCCTTTGTGGGGGGTTATATAGGGGACTACTATAGTGGTTATTAAGGGGGATACTAGGAGTTTAGACTATGGCTCATGTGTCTTGAAGAATGTACGACTCAGGGTCTGCAGCGTACGCGGTTTAAGGGTTGGTGTTTTCTCGAGGGGCCTTGATGATTCTTTTGCGGCGGGAATGCTTTGAAGAATGCTCGATCTACATGCCGGGACTGAAATCAAGATAGTATGGACATGCAGGCAAGCTTGGCAGGTACAACTGGCCTGTCCCTTTCGAAGTGAGAACGGGAGGGAAACCGAATACACTTTGTTCCAAGGCTTGATCGGCCGAAAACATCATCAAACAGCTGCGACTCGTTTTGACTGCTGCCGCTGCCGCTGCCGCTGCCTGCCTGTGGTAACACACATACGCGGACAGACACTGGACAGACATAGGGCAGCAAAGATGCTCTGCTGCTGGACCATCTTG